CCCCCCCCCCCCCCACCCCCCCAGGTGGAGTACTCACTTGTACTAACCTGGGAATATGTGTTACTCTATCTGCAGGATATCTTATGGTCAAGGTCTTACTACACGTCAGTGATTCTAAGAAAGGAAGTAGCTTTGGTTTAAAGAGCACATCAAATAATGTAATAAAGAAAAAAGCTTAATCACTTACTACCAAATGTAGTGCATTTGTACGTCCATTACGAGAGCGTTTTCTCGTTTTGTCATATAAGTAACCTAGTAAGTAACCTAGCTAGTCTAGTAACCTAGCTAGTCTAGTAACCTTGCTAGTCTAGTAACCTAGCTAGTCTAGTAACCTTGCATATCACTAATCTGTCCAGGTTGGAATCCTTTCTTATTTAAAAAATTAATTATTAAATTGTAACGTGTCATTCTTGAAAATAATTCCTTAAATATATTAACCATTTTGTATCCCATACATATGTCTGACACATAACTACTTTTATTTCTTTATTAGTCTTCATATTATTTTATCTTAATTCATTTAATAAATTTCCAGAATATATCAGAATAAATATATCTACTGATGCACCAGTGTTAATGTGTGTTTTTGGATTTGATAAGCATTAAAATAATGCGTTATGATTCGTTTCTTTTGTGTTGACCCGGGTGCCCTGGCTTTGGGAGTTGCCTTGGAGGTGTTGCGTGTGCCTCCCACTACTGTTATCATATTAATTTATTTTATACTAAGCTCATGATATTTATTATTGCTATTAACTTTCAATTATTATTTAATTCCAATTTATCATTCATTATGTTAATTATTTTGTCCAATTTTGAGGAGTTCTGAAAAATTACTTTTTGCTATTTTAGAATAAGCATGTTTTTATTAGAGTGCACGCATATTTAGTACTAATGTAGTAGTACTTCATACAGAATCCTGTTTCCTATTGTTTGATTATCACTATTTAATACTAAAAATTAGTATTTGTTTCACGGGTTTAGTGCGAGCACTTATTGTATATAGTTTATTTCATAGTTGGTGTGATAACACTACGCTTTACTGACTCAGTAAAGATGATTAGATGATGTATTTCGTCAGACAACACTAGTCTTTAGGTCAAGTCAGTAATTTTAGATGGAACCTATTAAAACTTAGTAACGTCAGTAAAGCAACACTGTATTCTCCGGTCACAAAACTGCATCTGTATTCTCTACTTTCACATCCCCATAATGCCTTGTGTCTTTGGGGGGTAACCAATCAAAAAACTGTCCCAAATTGAAAGGTTTCTTAATTGAATTTATACTATGCCTGCTTTTATCTCTACAATACCGATTATCAGTTTATTCCAAGTTATTTTTGCATTTACAGACCATTATCAAGAGTTTTGGTCTTACAGAAATTGCAAGAAATTGTCCAAACGGATTGCGCTCCTCAAACATATCAGTCCGTACCTTAAACAATATCAAAGACTAACATACTTTAATGGCGTGATAAAACCGGTCATGATGTATGGAACCATGATATGGGATAATTTTTCTAAAGAATGCTTAAACCGTGTTTTAAAATTACAAAAGCGAGCAGCAAGAATCATCCTAGATGCAGAAAAAAACAGTCCATCGATAGAACTATTCAACAAACTAAATTGGCTTCCTTTCTCAAAGCAATCTTATAATAAACGAAATGCTCTTGCATATAAGCGTATTAGTGATGAGCATAAAACTACGGAATACATGGATGAGCTGCTACCAAAAAACTCAAGTCTACATGATCGAGTTACAAGATATTTTAATCTAAACTTCATATGTCCCAAATATAAAAGGAAAACTGAAGGAGGAAGAACTTACACTATCAGAACGATCACTGAATGGAACTCACTTGGTATCCAAATCAGAGAGAGCGGGTTGCTGTTCAGATTTAAAAGATGTCTTTATGGAAGACTTCTCAGTTACAGATCAAAAAGAAGCCAACAAATTGAACATTTGATCAGATTGAACATTTTAATATTTGACTTGATATTTTAGATTTATATTGATATTGATATTAGTATTTAGTTTGTATTTATTCTTATAAGTAATATAGTAGTGTATATATATTATATGTATATAAACTTTTTCCGGATATTTTAAATTTAGTTAGATATATATAATTTAACCTAGTTAGTAGTTATATTTAAAAGTATTTTTTTCTCTCCTTTTTTTTTTTTTTTTTTTTTTTTTTTTTTTTTTTTTTTTAAGTCTGTATACACCTGCTTGCGAGAGCGTTGTCATGCGGTATTGGAGCATTGGTGATTTGGTGGGGGGAGTGCATTGAAGGACAAAAGAAAAGTTCAGCTTCAGTGATCTTCTTTTGTTTTTTAATGTAACTCCTATCCCGCTGGGTCACTGGCGTTCAATTTTCGTATGGCAGCGTTCTTGCAAGTAGGTGTACATAATTTTTATCAATAGTTATATTATTTTATTTATCTATTTTTAGACTTGAGGGCCACAGAGTTATCAGCGTTTTTTAAMTACTGTTATGTGTTTACCCTCTTGAAATAAACAAAGCCTATTATTAAATGTATTGACTTACGAAAAAATGTACAAAAGAGGTACATTTTTTTTATTTTAAAAAAAGCACATTTAAAAGGTGTGCGCTTTTGAATAAATTTGATGTGAGAAAAAATAAGTGTTCAGAAGTTCTGAAAGAAAAATACACCTAAAATGTTCCAACGTACCCTCCTAAAAAGCGGTACATAACAGAGATTAGGCGTTAAATATGCTCCAGCATACTAGCACATTGGGTAAACTTCCTTGTTCCAAGAGCGTCTTAGTGTTTTTCCTCCTTGATAAGAAAAACGAAAGCTTCATGTGACGTCACTGACTACAATGTCAAGTTTGTCTCGCGCTGATTGGCTAGAGGGTTGATCATTATATTGCATGGTTAAGGATCACCTGGTTAGGGATTGTGCTGGAGTTTCCATGGGCCTCGATCAATAGTTTTACAAATCTTATTGGTGTTGGGTTTTTACATATACATTTACTGGATAGCAGAAAAGGACCATCCTTGATCATTGCCACATGATCAGTGCTGTCGGTTTGTGACATCAGGAAGTAGGATCTCCTTCAACCCGCCGGTTGCGAATCTTCTCCACAACGAACCTGATCCGTGATTGGAAACACTTTTTTTCGATTTAAGGTAGGAATTATGACCCTGGCTAGTGTTTGCTTTTGAATTTAAATATATTCGGTAACATCCGAACGAAGACTTTGCTACACCAACTCGATGGAACGACTTCCACGAATTTGTTCAAAATTCTGATCCCTCGAATGTTTTATTGGCTTGTTCGTAGCGGCAGGCACAACCAATTGACCGTATTAATATATCTTTGAACACTCCTAGAAGTCTTCTTTAAATCGTCGGTACATCGCTCTGGGTTGTTTATCATTCTAATTTCTAACATTTACTTTCTGCCATCAAAAGCTGATCACAGTTGATAGAATGATAGAAAATAGTACCTCCTATCTTGTTTTCATATTATCCAGTCCACCGTCCAACACGCTTACCATATTCAGTCTTCAGCTTAGTGTGTCTCGTGTGTCTGTATCCTAAACCCAGTTCATACAACAATTTTCACTGTTAATAATTTAACCCAACATTACTATTTGATATAGAGCAAGCTTGCTATTATTTCAGTGTTGAGAAAACTTATTTCTGCTAGCAGCTGGCCTTTGTTTCATCAGGCACTGATTTCCGAGAAAAAAATTGTTTACCCATTTTACTTTGGTTTTCGGGTCATTGGCTACGCGAAGGATCATACTGTTAGTTATTGCAGACATAAAGCTGAATATATCTATCATATAGTATGTGCACTCTGTTAATAACATTATAGGGTTAGGGTTAGGGTTAGAGTTAATTATGTATTGAATCATTTACACTTTCACCAGGTTCATTTGACCAACGAAACACTTGCCTTCGATCCGTTGAACCCGAGTGGACGAAGAAAGGCTTCCACTACTGAAACATGGCTACATATAACTTCGACTCGTCGCCTGGAAGAGACAGATTCATACGTCTTACCAGGCTACTCATTGCAGGCGGAACGCCCATCCTAAGAGAAGTGTTGAGAAGCTACCATAATCCATCGACTCTCGCAGCATGCGTAGCTTTAGTAGGCAAAAAGTTGGTTCTCACGAAACCTCAGAAGCAGCTGCTTTCTCTCGACGGTCCGCCAGGTTCGCTGCCCAACTTTGATAAGTTTGATATTTGTCTTATCTTCAAGTTGCTACGAAACTGCTGTGGACTGACCAAACCCGGCACTAAATGGAACAAGTTACCAGAAGAGAGTGATGAAAGTCTGGAAGCTGATATTGTTAGAATAGATTTTTATCGTAACGACATCTACGGTCATACACTAGAAGGCATGGCAATCTGTACACAAGAAGACTTCGACAAGTACTGGGCCATTATCTCTGATGCATTGTGTAGAATGGCTGCCATCTTGACTGGAAGTGACAGAACATTAAAAATTCAAATCCAAGAATTAAGACATTCGCGTTTGACAGATGATGATCTTAGCACAGTTCAAGAATTTTTACAAAATATCGAGGCAAAGGAAGACCAGATCATAAAAGGGATAGAGGGAATTCAAGACACCATGATCAATGCAGCATTACAGCGTATGAAGATCTCCGACGACAAAACTCATACAGCAGTAGCTGCGTCACCACTTGTCCAATACAATTTTATATACAATCAATTCGGTCCAGACTTTAAAAGTGAGAGCGCGCAAGGCCCTCAACAACCCTGTTTACTACAAGGAATAAGAAGACAGGTTTCTGAAGGTATGATTACACCTTCAATCCCTCCACGACCCTTCATGAAATCCTATTCTCTGCCAAGTAATGTCCATCAGGAAAGACGTTTCTCACATGAAGAATTTAGAAACCCTGTGGATAAATTCCAGCTCCAAAACCCTTCAGTAGACGAATATCAACGAGTGTCTAGTCCTAGTGTACAGCAAAGCCCCAATAAAACAGCAGTTTTTGGGTCTCAACTCTATGCTGGCCAAGAGTATTCACCTAATCCGTTGGCAAATGAAGCTGCAAGGACATGGACCACTCCCTCTGCTCAAGGCTTCTCTCGTGAATCCTACCAAACCAGTGGTAGAGACAGGGAGGCAGCATTAGTAAACATGTCGTTTAGCAACGAGCCGAATGAATGGTTAAGTCAGCGGCAGCAGCAGGACCAAGGTGAGTAATGAGCATGCGCATTTAAAACTGCTGAACATGGCGGCCTAATCTTTCGGTGGGGGGGGGGGGGGGGGGGGGGGGGGGGGGGATCGAGATAGTTATGACATAAACGAGAAACTAGCAATTAACTCGGCATTCTGATGAATGATAAAACAACTGATGAACTCGACGTTCCTCACGTTTCTGGTCAATGGTGAAAGCACTCACTTGTTTGCATCGCGACGACTGAGGACAACGTTCTGGTACAGTAACCCTATCAACTGACAAACACGAGATATAAATTAATGAGATGGGTAAACTAAAATGACATCAGTGGCTTTACGGGAAGCACGGGTGGCGTAATGGTGAGAGCGCTCGCTTACGGCTCACAAATGTGACCGGGCTTCGATCCCCGGACTCGACTCTCGTATGTGGGTAGAGCGTTTTTGTTGGTTCTCTCCTGTGTTTCTAGGGTTTGTTCTCCGTGCTATCCGGTTTTCCTCCGGTTCCTCCGATTTCCGCTTTCCTCGGCCAACTTATTCGCTCTAGAATGGCCTAAATGAAAATTACTCTGTGTAATTCTAGTAACCCCACCAAACTTTGTAGACTTTTTTGTAGTTTATCTTTGTCTTTTCAGAGCCTTTGCTGCGCATCGAAATTTCTGTTCGCGCTGCAGGTTCATTGGATTTCCACCTTGGTAATTTGATCAAGTCAGGAACTGATATATCACAGTTCACCAGTTACTTGGGGAAAAAACAACTCATCATCAAAAAAGTACGTCCCGGCTGATAGTAATTGCAAATGCCTCAAACTTTTATTATTGTGCGTAACCGCAATTTATTTTATACGTCATACTGTACAGATTGATGGGAACCCTAACGGAGATTGCTGCTTCATTGAAGTTTCGCCTCGAGATTTACAGTCCTTAGAAGAACTTTGGCATGACTGCATTGTTAAAGACCTGAGAGAATTCGTTAAAGAAATAGTTCTGCCTGAAGACTTTAGAGGCGAAGTTGACGTGAACATTGACGGCGAAGAGTACAAAAGATGTTGCGAGAGTCTAAGACCGAGAGGTAAGATTTCTGTCTTCATTTTTTTTAACGGTGAGCACACAGTTGTTAGAATTAGGTGACTCTCTATTAATCCAGTGTTTGACCAAGACGAAGTAAATCTGGCATTGTCAAAGATCCAGAGGCTTTTCAACCAAAGCTAGAGCATCCTTCAGCAGCATACGCTGACTGGACATTCCATTCCAATGAGGAAAAAACTGGTTCGAGTTTTTATTGCAGTGCATTGTGGGGCTGTGGAGATATGTACCCGATATGTGCCCTATAGCAGCCCCACAATACAATTCAATACCAACTCGACCCAGTTTTTTCCTCGACCTCGGAATGGATGATAAAATAATTCATGTCTCGGGGACAACATTTGGTCCGCATGACCTCGACTCTTTAAATTCAGCTCTGAATTCAGCTCGCTGCTGTCCTACAAGCCCCACATATGCCTTCGTTTAGCACGTGTAAATGTGGATTTACTTTTTGATTACAGAGTTCAAGGATAGTGGAAGACACTCCCAAAGCCTAAGTCAGGTAGGAATGGCGGCATGTGACGCGAGTATACCTTCAAAAACCGTCAGACGATCACAGAGTGTCATGGATGTACCCGCTACTCTAAACATTGCCTTGCAAGAACTGCTTCAGTTAATCTGTAGCTATGGAGGGAGAATGGACTGGCAGAAGGCTCAGAAACTGCTGTACATCGACTTAACTAAACCAGAATTTACGCAATACATGAGTAGATATTTAGAGATTCTTCCTAATAACGCTGTTCAGGTTAAACTCAAGTTTTGTCCAAAGATGAGAAAAGATAGCACTTGTGACAATACTAACTGTCCAGATTTACATCTCTGCTTTTATCATTTTTTAACCGATGACTGTCAGTACACGACAAATTGCAAAAATTCCCACAACATTTCTGATGATCACACAAATAATATGTTTAGAATGGCGAATCTTTCGTTTCTCAATGTCGAACAACGTAAGCAGTTAGTTAGAAACGTAGCTTACGTAGCCCCTGAAATCTGCATTTACTACAACAAACGATCTAGTGTATGCACAAAGGGCTCCAACTGTCCTTACCTTCACGTCTGTAAAGACTGGGTTGTCGGTAGATGTGGTGAGGGGAGTAGGTGCCAACGTGCCCATACCTTCAGTAATCCACACGAAAAGGACATCTTAAAGAAAAAGAATTTAGATCGAAAGACTGAGAAAGAAATCATACATAGACTTAAAGAGCATTATAGTTAGTACTACGCTAGAGAACACAGCGAAGAAGTATATTATTAGAATGTAACGTGACTGTCCTATAGTCCTGAGTCCTATAGGGTAGATGAAGGCAGAATGCGGCAATACGCCATTTTACCTTCATTTCAGACCACGTGTTATTCCCTAGAGTATCATTTCTTTGTTTAACAGTTGCTGTAGCGGATCCAGGATTTTTTGCCCGGTTGCAAAATGGCCGCCACGGAGAAAAGCTGCTGAGAAGTTGCATGAATATGGATACAACTGAAACGGCAAAGAATCTTATTCTCAAGGGAATGACACGTGGTTGAAATGGAAAAACGCATACTAGTTTACCTGGGGGGCAGCTTTTTATGGGGGGGGTAATTAGGGGGTAGAACTCTACTTTATTTAGAAGAATGAAGATAAATGTATAAAGCAACATTGTACGTGGAAGTAGAAATGATTTATGTTGAACAAAAAGTTTAAAATTCCTCAATATCACAGTCATAAATATAATGGAAGATAAATCTTGAACATACATTCAACTATTCAATTCATATTGATGGATTGCAAGCATTCCCAAGAGAGTCAAAAGACAAAAGCATGGCGGCCATTGTGGTACTGTTTACAATGGATGCTAATGAGAAAACTTTTGTTAAATGGTATCAACATGGCCGCGATGACGTAACGTGCAATCAAAGAATAGAATGGATGCTGGAACTATAGAATTAGGGCTTAGGGTTAGTATATGCACTTCAACAAGAGCAAATAAATGTGTTAAATGTTTTGAGTCGTCTTTTATTCTTACCTTCAGATCTTTTCGTCTTCTGTACAAGCGTGTTCACTATGAATACAAGGTATGGCGCACAATGGAGCTGTTTTAAGGGCTTTGTTCGAAGGCTGGTTTTCACTCTTGAGAGGGAGTCGGAAGAAGTCCACGAGTGAAATTAATCTTGCAAGGGAAAACCACTTGTCATAGACATACAGCACAAGGAAGGATAAGTAAGCTTTCTGATCAACCAAACTAGCGACTTCGTTTCAGTCTGGTTTTCGGCTGCTACAATTAAAGCTGCTTCAGACTCCGATTCCATCCCGAGTGAAAACTAGGCTTAATTATAAAAGCAAGACTTGCTGTTGCATATGATTACAGCAGCCAGTAACCAAGCGACAGTACCGGGGGAGTTCACACCATAGACAACCACAGCAATAACAAAACATTGTAAAGGAACCACGTTGAGTTTGGTCTATGAATTAAAGAATGCGCGTAGCTATGCGAAAAATATTGCATTGCATCTGAAAATTCTTCGTGGGATTGCCGTGCCAATGCAATTCCATCTTGGTTCTAGCGCCTCTTAGACTATTAACGGGTTTCTTCTCCCTATGTATAACAAGGACAGTTGTACAACAAGCAAACATAGGTGAATATATTTGGTAAAAAGCTTGTCCTAAACTAGCTAGCTAACTTTTGGTTTGGCACCGGTTTGGTGTGTTATTAGTGAGCGGATGTTGGTCCATCTCACGTTTTTGTTTCCCGCTCTCGGTTTTATGAAGATGTGAATTGTCTTTTTCATGTCTGAAACTGCCCCACATTGCGCTGCAATGAAAACTTGACCTGGTTTTTTTCTCAACCTCGGAATGGCTTATAGAGCCATGCTGATCAACAGTTCATCTGGATAACCTTACGCCTGGATCCCACGCTAATAATAACATACAAACAATATGTATTCTATCTGGTGCATTTATTTAACTTTCTCCATTTAAAAAATCATTATGTTACACTGCTTGATTGTGTTTATATACATCTAAACTGACTTCATTATTGCTGTTCAGCCACGTTAATTAACTTATCTATGGTCAGACAACAAAACAAACAATCTTTGACCAGTTATCAGCTGTTGAACCACATGTCCAATGGGCAAACACGTGATGATCACATGTCCAATGGGCAAACACGTGATGATCACATGTCCAATGGGCACACAAGTGATGATCACATGATTATATTGTTCATCCCATGAACTGCCCAAACGTAAAGAGTAGACCATGTATTCATATGATATCTAGTGAACTTCACTGATACAACTATGGCTATTGACCGTACCAAGGTTGAGGAAAAAGATGAGTGGAGTTGGCATTACAGTGCATCATGGGGCTGCTTTAGGGGACATATTTCCGAGATAACTCTATTTTGTCCCCTTAAACAGCACACAATGCAATGCAATACTAACTCCACCCAGTTTTCCCCCCTCAACCTCAGAATGGCTAACACTACTCACTGATGCTTCAAACTACAACTTCTCTTTCTTTTCTTGTGACTGTAGTTTGAACATCACTGAACAGAATAAACGATTATTTCATGCCATTTTAACCAAAAAAGAAATGTGAAACAGTCATTGTAAAGACTTAAGCATGCCTGACTATGGTGTATATAGATCAATAATAACCTTATTGCATTATAAGTACCCTATTGTAACTATCTGTAATAAGTCACATCAGGAACAGTACAAGGCATCGCAGACACACTCTATTGAAGTGCTATCAACAGTCTTGTGGAATCCAGCTCCAAAAGACTGAATGCATATTGACAACAAACCAGTCTATGGGGAGGGGAGGGTGGAGGTGTTGGGTGACAATACCTTGATCTGTTCATGATAAGACATGACAAACAACTCTCGTCTATTAATGACAAATACTCTGTTAAACATCAGTAATACAATGAGTTAATGAATACAACATTAAAATCATAAGCAACAAAATAGAAAAACTTATATTGAAAAAGAATTTGTATCTTAGAGACAGAAAAATCTTTTTCTTTCTTCAAGACATTTTTTAAAGTTCAACTTGTAATGCACTGCATTCAAATGTCTAAAGAAATATGTGGCAAAGTTATTTGATAGAATGCATGCTTGTTATTACTTAATTCCTACAAATAAAGTACCAGTTATACTGAATTGAAGAATCGTTGTCGGGTTCAGAAACATAGAACATAAAAGCAGAGACTGAAACGGCACATGGGAAATGACATAATTATATTATAACTTATTCATTTGTGCCATCCATGCAGTCGGTTTAGAATGCAAAACGGGCAATTAAAAATAGTGGATGATGCCACGGGTTGCCGGTCACAGCATGCATCTAATAAACATACTTCATGTGCCATTTTGGTCTCAGCTTCTACGTTCTATGTTTCTGAACCCAACAATGATTCTTCAATTGAGTGTATACATCTAGACTGATTTACTACAGGTTATACTGACAATGAATATCACTCATAGTAGCTATGGGTATATTGTATCTGTTATATTAACTGATCTAACATACTCCAACCCACAACCACTCTAAAAAAACACTAACAGTAGAAAAATATTCTTATCAGGTAGGATACTGACATGAAGAAAGAAAGAAAATCCAATAAAATCAGGGTTGAAAATAAAGGCTGCTTCATAGCCAAACATGATGTAATACCATTAGGATAGATAGATAGATTCCTTTATTTAAACAGGGTATTTCTCTCGGTATTTACGAAACTGTAAAAACCTGTTATCAATAAAGGCCCTATGAATGATCAACATGAGACCAGTTAATTTGACCAGTCCATGTGACCAGTCAAGAGGATTGGCCTGTATGACCAGATTCACTGAGCAGCCGTTATTTTGAGTCCTGTAGTTTGATACACAGAATCCTGTTATACTACTAGTTTATACTACCCTCCTCTATTGCTATAGACCATGAATGGTTTTGATACAAACCCCTATGGTACAGTCTATTATGAAAAAAGATTACAAAAGTGAATGGTTATGGATTATGATCATAGAGTATTGACTGGATTATACACAAAGCAAGATATGTAGTAACCATTCTGGCCCTCATTTCCTAACAAGAGAGAGAGTATTGTTGACCAGGGAAGGAAGAAGACTCATTGTTTTATTGTCTATTTAAAGTAGTTCAAGCACTTGAATGCCTCCGCTCAGACTTACTAAGATCTCATAGTTGGTAGGGGTCAAGACAGACAGACAGGCAGCCAGTAAGAGCAATGAGTCTGACAGGTGTAATCTTGCATTGTTATAGAGTATTTTTTCTGCTTTTTTTAAATTGAATAAAGGGAATTTCTTTATATCTTTATTTAATCCTCCCACCCGTTCTTATGTTCATATTACTACACATGCACTTATCGATTCACAGCAGTGACAAACAGTATCGTAGTAGAACCATAACTGGATCATCTTGTTAAAATCGTGCCTGAAAATAATAATTGTCAAGCAATCAATGAAATTTTCTTAGTTTACATATTTATTACTTTATTACTCTGAAGGACTAATGTCTGAAAAGCTGATAGTTCTAAATATCAAACATCTTATTCACTTACCACTCTAAGGGTGAGCGGATAATTTAACAGATAATTTAACGAAACAAATCAACAAAGAATTTAGAAATTCAATTTCTGTGTAGGGAAGAAAGCGACAAAACCAAAGAAAAACCTCCGAAGGGTTGACGATGATGATAACCATTGGCATGAGTACAGCAGTGGGAGGCAGTATATTTTTAACATATTAGTGATCCATGTATACTAGATAGTATGACTCACCTGGGAACCAGGTATTGGTCCAAAAGGATCACTTGGTTGCTGTGGTTGACCAAGGTTTGATGGTTGACTTCCAAAAGCTGAAGGGAACATTGCTGGATTCCCCTAAATATTACAATATTATCAGTTAGCAAGATGTAGAGTCATTGCTTGATTCCCCTAAATATTACAAACATTATCAGTTAGCAAGATGTAGAGTCATTGCTGGATTCCCCTAAATATTACAAACATTATCAGTTAGCAAGATGTAGAGTTATGAACATCCGTGAGCAAGATGAATAGAGTCACCACATTCAGTAGGTATATATCTAGTTCATACTTACCCCCATTCGCTGTGGCATGCCTGTAGGCATTGCTGGCTGTCCAAATGGTGGTCTGTACATTCCCTGCTGAGGACCTGCTCCCCATCCTACCTGTGCAGGGGGGACAGTAGATCTTGCCGGTTGTAGGTTCTGCTTCTGCCAGTTTGGTCCACCAGTTTTTTGCTGTGGTTGTGCTGGTGTCCATTGATGTTGTCCTTTTTTAGATGCAGGGCTTGTTCCTCCATTGATTACCATCAGGTTATCTACACCAACAAATCATGTTCAAATACTCATGACGGTAAGGCCAAACAAAAAAAAAAAAAGTGTGTTTCCTGTTGCACGATCAACCCTAATTTTCTTGCCAATTTTTGCCGACCCTAATGTCTTTTTCATCCCCAAATGCACCACAGGGTTCCCAGTAAGCTCATTTCCACTGTTGTATCAGTAAAACAAAAAAAACACCAACCTACCGACCCCAATTATTTTTCTCATGCAACAGGAAACACACTTATTTTTTTGTTTGGCCTAATATCATGAATCCAAGGAAAACAAAAGCATGTTTTTCCTTTGACTACCAACAATATGACATGCTTCATAGAGATGCTTGCTTAGATCAATTTGGAAACTTCTTGCATGGCTTGCAATCCCGCAAGAACCATAATAGTCCCCTTCACAGTTCCCTGTGAAAGGTAACCGTGCATCAAAGCGAGATGAACAGTGAGCTTGCAAAGATACCTTGGACAATTATTCACGTCTCTATAAATGCAAGCTCACCGTTCGTCCAACTTTGGTGCAAAGGCACTGCTATCTTTCAAAATGGCGCAAGGAACTGTGAAGGGGTCTATTCAGAATGGTTTCCATTCACATTTGATTTTCTCTACACATAAGACACGAGAACTAATGTTGGTATTCCATAACTTGCTTCCCTACCTAAAGACTTGGTTACTCTCTCCAAACTAGACATCAGATCACCAGTTCCTTTTGCACTATCATCTTGTGTTTGTTGCTTAGTAACCAGGTTAGGTGCAGCATTATCTGCTGCTACAGGCTTGAGTACACCAGTATTTGATGCTGTGCCTAATGAGCTGACCGGTGCACTACCACCAAACACCTTGTCGAAGTCAGCATCACTGCCTTGTGCTGGACTATCAAAGAAATTGGGGGCTGTGGATGTTTGAAAAGCTAGAAAACATAAACATGGATTAATTTGAAATCCATAGAAAGTTTGTCATGACATTTATGTAACATATTACTGTTTGCACAGTATAAGTAATAAATACTACTATTAATTATAAGGAAAAAGTATGGTCAGCATGTTGGATGAGGTAACAAAAAACGTCCTCCATCAATGCAGCAATATTGTAAAATGATGGCAGTCTAGAAGACAACAGTGTGTGTACATGGATGTCTTGTCGTCATCTTGAGGTCAGGTGTTGGTAAGCAAGACAATACTCACCAGTTGAAGGGGCGCTAACAGGTGCATTACCCCATGGTGAAGGTCCAAAATCAGCCATTCCTCCAGGCTGCATACCAGGGAAGGGTTGGCTGGGAGGGAAATGAGTTGACGGAGAGAATGCTTTATTGGTAGGCTGCTGAGGTATGGATGAAGCAAAGGATGCATCTAACTGTAGTAGGTCATCACTGGGTGTTGTTGCTTTGGGAGGTGCCGCAGCTGCAGCAACAGGAGCAGCAAAAGTAGCACTTGGAAGTGTAACACCAGATGAGATATTCTTCTTGGCCTGGATAAACATTCATATTATCAAAGATATAACATTCGTAGGTCACAGCATTTGGCATTCAGGCCAACCTTTTCTTAAACTATCAAGCTAATTTTCTCAACAACAAAAAATCCTGGTCAAAGTAAGTACTAAACACCTTTCTTTTGTTTCTAATGACATTTTTAGATTTTATGTACTTAATGCTATTATTGGTAAACAGACAAAGAGATTTTTCTGCTATTCTCTTCTCAGATAAAGGTCTAATAAACAGAAAGAATCGCTGATGGTAATGTATAGTAGTAATAAATTATGCGTTTGGTGTGTGTAATGAAATAGAGAGAATAAGAGAAAAATATCAAATGCCCTTGGCGGGAATTGAACCCACGTCTTCTAGTACTCTAGTCCGATGTGTTAACCACTACACTACAAGGACCAACCACGCTGGTAACGCAGCTGGAATATGAAATGTAGGGTATTCGTGAGGATCCCAG